CCGCCAGACCTTCATTGCCTCCGTCATCAAATTCCTGCGCCAGTATGAGTTTGATGGGCTGGACTTTGACTGGGAGTACCCCGGTTCTCGCGGGAGCCCTCCCCAGGACAAGCACCTCTTCACCGTCCTGGTGCAGGTGTGTGGCATTGCATGTCGCTTGCAGTGGGAAATGCATGACCGGGCTTCCCATGGAAGACCACTGAGGCTGAACAGAGGCTCAGGCCTTACAGTCTCAGCGGGATGAGCTCCTGGAGACCCTATTCCAGTGAGGGTGTTGGAGAGTGAGGGTGGAAGAGAGGAACGTAATTCACAGAGCAGGAGGCAGAGTGGTGTTTATATGATTTCTTCTGTTCCTATAGGAAATGCGCGAAGCTTTTGAGCAGGAGGCCAAGCAGGTCAACAAGCCCAGGCTGCTGGTCACTGCTGCTGTGGCTGCTGGCATCTCCAACATCAAGTCTGGCTATGAGATTCCCCAGCTGTCCCAGTGAGTAGACAGCGCTTCCTTTGCCTCCTGGACACTTCACTTTTGCAGGGCAGACTCGTCCTTAGTCTGTCCTGCTGATCAGGGACCTTGTTTAGGGGCCTTTGGAAGTGGGGTCTTTTCCTGCACAGATGTGGGAAGGGGCCACGAGCAATGTTCCAAATCCCTTATCCACTCAGGTACCTGGACTTCATCCATGTCATGACCTATGACCTCCATGGCTCCTGGGAGGGCTACACTGGAGAGAACAGCCCCCTCTACAAATATCCATCTGACACTGGCAGCAATGCCTACCTGAATGTGGTGAGTGCCTGCGAGATGCTGCAAATCACATGGAGCTTCAGGGAGAAAAGACATCATAGATGTAGTCATTCAGGGGAGAAAGTATTATAAAAGTAGTAATTTTCTCAAAAGGGCCATTAGGCTGGTAACTAGCCTAATTTAACTAGTTTCATTTACTAAAAATTCACCAAAAAAGTAAAAAATACGATATAACCCCATCTTTCAAAAATAAAATAAGCACCATTACTCACATCTCAGTTAGTTACAAGATCTTCCTCCCACCTTTTTCTTCTTTTGGTTCCCCTTCTGTTTACTCTGTTTTCTGCTATTCTAATTTCGTGCACAAGTCTGCCACACAGAATTTCAGTCACTCACCAGGCAACCATACCAAGGGAATCATGGGGCAAAATCTTAGTCTTCACAAGTATTGTTGATGGGAACGGCATATCTAATACCGATATGTTATTAAAGGGGAGTGCTTGGGAATATGGACTTCCCACTGCCACAGAAGTATGTGAATGATGCTCTAACATACGCTGCAAATGCTATGTAGAGCTGCACAACCAAAGCAAAAAGCCCTGGCTAGTAACTACTTACTGGGCCATCATCTGGGCGGGAGCTCTAACTCACCCCTTTCCGTTGCAGGAGTACGCCATGAACTACTGGAAGGCTAACGGGGCTGTAACTGAGAAGCTCATCGTGGGATTCCCAACTTACGGACACACTTTCCTCTTAAGCAACCCAGCCAACAATGGAATTGGTGCTCCGACCACTGGCCCTGGCCCCGCTGGGCCCTACACCCGGCAGTCTGGGTTCTTGGGTTACTATGAGGTATGCGCCTAGTCATTCTAGAGAGGGGGCATGTCATTACCTTTGTCCTCGGATTGAACACTGTTAACAATAGTCAACCCTTACTGGCTTATTTAATAATAATAATTGGAGCTGAAAATGGATCCTCTTAGCTTCTGGCAGACGGGTAAGATGAGCACTCATGACATGCTACTTAGTTGTACCTTGATGAGGCCCCTTCAATTGACAAATTGCAAATACAGAAAGAGAAGCAAAAAAGGATGACATCCATGAGATTACACTAATTTATGAACACTTCTAACTCCATGTCAGACAATTTTAAGAGGGTTTTCTACTTTGAAAATAAAAGACCCAAATATAAGAGTCAGAATCCTAAATAAATCAAGCAATTTGTTGCTAGAACACTCAGTCTTCTTTTAAAGTAGTTTCTATACATCTGTAATCTACTTTCCCTCCCCATGCCCTTTTATCTTTGCTGCATGGACTCTTCACTTACCTCTTGACCGCTTCCTTACATCTTCTTAGATCTGTACCTTCCTGAAGAATGGCGCCACCGAAGTGTGGGAGGCGAGTGAGGAAGTTCCCTATGCTTACAAAGGCAATGAGTGGCTTGGATATGACAACATGAAGAGCTTCAAAATCAAGGTAGGATGTGTTCAGTGGGCCCTTGGTGCCTATGAGTTTGTTCCCATTTATAACCCTGCAATCACAGGTTGGATTTGATGTATGAACTTGACTGGATTTCTCTCTACTTACCCCAGGCTGAATGGCTGAAGAAGAACAACTTTGGAGGTGCCATGGTCTGGGCCATTGATATGGATGACTTCACAGGCAGTTTCTGCAATCAAGGCAGATACCCTCTGATCAATACCCTGAAGGATGCCCTCGGTCTGCAGAGTGCAAGTGAGTCAGGGGGTGAGAAGGAGCCCTAAGCCTCAAAGTTAAGAGAAATTTCAGACTTGTTGGAAGTCAAGAAACCATTGAACAAGTGATTTGATGGTTTTTGTTGCATTTATATTTGGCAAGGACTCTTAACGGTGGAGAGAGAAAGCAAATGAATCTATTCAATCACTTCATAATTTATAAGGGTCTGTTAGTGCACCCGTGGTATATACAGCTCTCTGCAGGTAATCAGGGGAGCCCAAATATGCAATTTATGGTCTCTACTCCATGGACTTGCAATCTAGCTAGAGAGGATTGATGTGATTACAATATCTGGTAACACAGAAGACATTGTATAATTTAGTACCAGATAAGATCTAGAAGCTTTCTTGTGCTCAAGTTCATGGCAATGAGAAGAATCAAAGCATCAGGGGGATCTAGGCAGGAGAAAAAAGTGAACTGTGCTTTGAAGGATAAAGAGGGAGTTGATAAGCAAAGAAGAGAGGGCTGGCGGGAAGGTATACCAGATCAGGAGGCTGAAATACACAGAGACATGGAAAGAAGAACCTAGCACAAACCTAGGGGGTTACTTCTCACTTGTAAGGCATCACTGAGTAAAAGCAGGGGACTCAGGACTTTATGTCTTCTTTCAGGTTGCAAAGCCCCCAGCCAGCCCATCGCTCCCATCACAGAGGCTCCCAGCTCAGGCAGTGGCAGTAGCGGCTCTGGGAGCGCCAGTGGCAGCGGGGGGAGCTCCAGTGGCAGCGGATTCTGTGCCAGCAAGGCCAATGGCCTGTACCCTGACTCCACTGACCGCAATGCCTTCTACAACTGTGTGAATGGACAGACCTACGTTCAGCACTGCCAGGCTGGCCTTGTCTTCGACCCTTCCTGTTCCTGCTGCAACTGGTAATATTTGCCAGATACCACCTCACTCATTCCACCTCGGAAATTGTACAATAAAGGGTTGAGCATTGCTATGTACTGTCTTCGGCTTCTTTATTGAGGTCTTTGATATCATTAATCCCAATCTCCCAGCGACACGTTCTTGCTCCACCAGTCCACCTGGTTTCTATGGTGGACGCCTGCCCACACGCACAGCCCTTTCTTGATATGGGTGGCAGGCTCAGAGGGATTCGAAGATGTTTGGTCCTTTTGTTCTCAAAACATATACTCAGATGAGAGTAGGAGGAGAGAGGAGCTGAGACGCAGTCAAAGATCCATAAATAAAAGTATTTGCTCATTCTATCAGAGAAACACCTCTGGGTGTTCAAGGGGTGCAAGAGTGGAGGTCTCTAAGTGTGAAAATAAGAAAGTGGTTTCCAGCAGGATTTGGAAGGAGTAAGAGTCAACCTGCTCTTTGAAGCTTTGAAACTGTCACTGACTTCTCCCTCCAGCTACGAATATCCCAGATGGCATCATCTTCTGATGGAAGGCTGTTCTGTCTGCACTGAGATTAAGCTGCTTAGTGTAGCCACCTTCATAATTGTCTTAGCTTAGTCCATACTTCAATTTCAAAGCTGTGAAAAATGAACACCTCTGTGTTTATAGGTGTTTACCTCCTGGTTTTATGTTTTCATTTTTGTTTAGTCAATATTGAATATCACCTTGTTTTACAACAGCCTGAAGTTTTATATTTAAATGCGTGTGGTCCTCATCACCAATACTGTTTCCCCAATACTTGATTTTTTCATTTATGCCCTCACTTGTTTTGTTTTTATTTGCCAAAATGGGCTTGAAATTGGCCTCCATTTGCTTGTACCTGTGGAAGTGCCTGACCCTTGCCTTCACACTCAATCACTAGTTTATTGGATCCAAAAGTTTTGTCTCTTTTTCGCCAAATGTTGGTCTTACTCCTTCCCCCCCCCCCGGCACTACTATTGAGTCTTCTTTTCCTATGACTTATTCACTTACTTTTATTGTTGTTAGCAGAGGCTGATTTTGCAGATGAGATCCACTCCCAATCCCCCCCACCACCACCACCATGTCACTGCCTCGAGTCCCTTCACATTCGGGAAAGCCTGCCTGTTGTTCTCTTTCCACTTGAAAAACTCCTGACTAGAGGTCCATACGACAGGCTAATACTTTCATTTCCTCAGCATCCATAGCTGGGTGTGGATGAAACCTCTTAGCACTATTTTAAACCCTATCTTTCCCTGTACGTTCAGTCACACTTCAGCATAAGCTTCAATTACCTGCATGGGCTCATAGTACCTTGCTTCTGGCTTAGAGGATACTTTTCTTATAGTTCTCGCTTTCCACCCCAGGGCTTTCAGACACAGGCTTCCACTAAAGCATGGATAGTCTAAATGTGCAGAGGATTTGATATGATCCCTGAGGTCCAGAGACTACAGTGCTCCCAACTTAGTGATGGTCTAGAAACAAATCCTGTAAGACTTCTGTGCATCCAGGTACCCCAGCAGTAACCTCTTGATGACATATTTTTGTTTTGGCCCTTCTTTTTTCACTGTTTCACCCCTCCCCCATATATTATTCCTGAACCCTGTTTTCCACTTAGAAATAAATTGTTTCCAAATGTGGTTAGCCTGAGATACTAAGCATTCTGGCATTTAATGCTGTTGAGAGGATATCTGAGTCCAGGGAGTACTCATGACCCATTCTTCACTCCATACTTTTGAAGCTATTTGATACATTTTTTTCCTTCTAGTTCCTGAGGAATTTATTTACTCTTGACATTCATAATTCATGTCTGAATTATGATTAATTTTTATCTATTTCTGCTGGAAGACAACAGACAAGAGAGGGTTAATTTGACCAATGTCCTGTAAGATGGCTTTTTAGGGAGGAAACTGGCCTGGTATCTCTCAAAATGACCTCCAGCCTAGGGTTAAATGCAATCCATCCCAACAGAGAACTGGCCTGGGTCAGGCCCTCATCCAAGTTTCCACTGGCAGGCGTGGTATCATTCCAAGGGCTGTATCACACATGGGCTTGGCCAAGTAAGCACCAGTGAATGCTGAGATCGTGGATAACGTTAGAAGCCACAATTCTGCTACACCAGACTTACGTTGAGTACTCACTTCTCGTCAGGAAGAATTTGGTTCCTTAATAATCAAGGCACTTAAAAACTCCAGTATCGAAGGCCTAGGGTGTCTGTCCCTTAGACTTCGATTTGCCCTATGCTTGACGGTTGTGTTTATACTGAGAATAAGATGGTCACAGGAAGATCACAGAAATACAATTGCCTCCATTTTCTCCAGAAACACTGTTCCAGAGAGCCTAGTTTGTATGCTGTTTGACCAGATACCCTTAATTGTGGACAGTGGGTGCAAGATGCTGGATGTTAGACTTGGGTATCCGCCTTCTAGACGTACACTAAGGGACTTGGGATTTGAAAAACGCAGTGTAAAGTGAAATCAGGCTTTTATATACCTCAGACTGGCATGATTGTGGACACCTGAGCCCAGGGGTCACAGGTGTGCAAATGGCCACACCTGGACCTAGAAGAAGGGCGTAAAAGATGACGTCACTGTGAGGAGAGCTCGCGAGATTTGTGAGGAGAGATCGCGAGATTAAAAGGCGAGACCAGGTGAGATGAAAAAAGGCGAGGCCAGGTGAGATGAAGAGACACAGCAGGAGGCAGAGAAGGAGCATGCCAGGGAAAGGCAGGAGGAAGCGAGGAGATTTCTGGGAATGGGAGGCTGCCTGGCCCCCCTGTCAGGTCCTCCAGCCCTGGTCCCCCACCTGCCTCCCTCCTTGCCCCCGCGCCTGGTGTGTCTGCGGACCTGGTTCCCTGCTCCAGTATTAAAGGTCTGTAAAACAACCTCGGGGGCTCCAGGATGCCTTTCCTCAACTGCGTCAGTCCACAGTGAGCTCCCCGCTCTGGGTGGCTGCCCTGGAAAAATCTCCTTGAGACATAATGGTGGTCCATTGCCGTCATAAATTGTAATGGCAGTAAAGGAGGTTCCCCAAATTCCTGACGTGCCAAAGTGTGAAAAGAGACTGGGGGTTTAAAATCATACAACCTAATATTCCAAGGTTGTTCTTAATGATCTGAGAGGATGTTGCCCAAAGGAGAAGTTTGAATAAGTATCTCTGAAGAAATTACAATTTGAAAACTCCCAATGATTGAATGTGAAATGATGTAGTTTTATATAACTTATGTAAACAGGACCAAGCAAATTGGCCACTTTCTGTCTGAGGCTACTGAGCTCAGTTAAGATAGCGCAGGCTGTTAAGATATAAGAGTGCTCTATTGTTCCCCTGTTAAATGGGAACAATAGAGAGGAAAGATTGAAAGCCATAAGATCTGTATAGTTCCCCACAATAAGTGAAGAAAAATGACCCCAAGTGGGTCACAGCAGCAGAACTGCTGTGTGGATTCCTACTGGTATATATGTGATTGAGGCTTTTAAAGAGCTTAAACATGAGGAAACCGATGATGGCTGCTACTCTTGTTGAAAGGGAAAGAATAGCTCGTAGGAGAGGGCCTCCAGGTGACTGCCAAGTGTATGCGTGCACCTGGACTGGTCACTTAGTGAGGCAAAGGGAAGATGAAGAGGTAGCATATCTGGAACATAAAAGTTGTGAGGAATTTGAAGCCAGGGCAGTGTTGGCAGGGGAGGGGGAGAGTTGTAGCTGGCCATTCCCAGGCGCCTCCTGCCTGATGAGTTGGAGGGATTAGCTTTCTACCTGTCAATCATGTCCACGCCCATGAAGAGGCTACCTTCATTTATTATTGCATGGTCTAGTGTGGACAGACCTTTGTCTCCCAAAACTCTTATGTTGAAACTTTAAACTCCCCACCCGGCTAGGGATGTAAATTGGAGACAGGGCCTTTAAGGAGTTACGGTTAAATGAGGTAATCGGGTTGGAGCCTGATTCCACAGGACCAGTGCTCTTATTAAAGAGGAGGAGACATCTGCCTTTTCTCTGCCTCTGTCATATGAGAAAACAGTCAAAAGGCAGGAAAGGGGCTCTGACCAGATACCAAACCTCCTAGAGCCTTGATCTAGGACATTCCAGTTCCAGGACTGTGACAAAATAAATTCTTGTTGTTTTAAGTCATTCAGCTTATGGTATTTTTGTTGTGATATCCCAAACGGACTAAGGCAATGTCAAAATCTGATGTGATGACTATTTCATGTGTCCTGTTGTCCGTAAGGGAGGAGAACTAAAGAATGCAGAGAAATTGGTGCCAAGACAAATTGCTTAAGACTGATCACTTCCAACTGGTAGGTTAACTAGATTGCTTGTCCAGTGCTAAAAATATCCCAAGTAGAGCCATTCCCAACAAGTCCATCTGTTCTAAGCCATCTGTTGTGGATCTAGGAGCTGAAGACAGGAAGCTTTCTGGTGCTGAACAACTGTGACTTGGGAACCCAGTCCAGGTATTTTTTCCTACAGCTTATCTTTTTCTTCTTCCAACACTGACTGTCTTGGCAACTGTGGAATCAGGACTGTATCCCACTCCAGGGAATGAGCTGAGACTAACCTGGGTCACTACTGTTTCCACCTGGCTGTTAGTGGGCTGCCCACTGTAACTACACCCTCACCTGTACCCTAATCTGAGGCCGAATCTCTGCCTTGGCATGGGACAGCCATTCTAGCCATTCTTAATGTGCTGCTGGTACCAAGGAAGTGCTCTAACTATTGCATGAATGTGGGAATAGGAAATGTTGACACAGGACTTCATGGACATGATGAACCCAGGCAAAATGCCATGGATATTTATGTAAGGGAAAACTCCTTTGTAGGCTAGGAGACATTTGAAGCCATAGGATACGGGGTGGTAATACACTCTCACTATCTGACAGTAGAGCCTGCCCAGAGAACCAGCACTCCAGTTCCCATATTCCTAGATGAAATGCTCGAAGACATACACACTTCACAGAAGAGGAAACAAAAGTGCCAATACATGCTTAAAAATGTGCAACCCTGTTAGTAACCAGAGAGCTATGAACTGAAACACCCACCACGAAGGGAAACTGAGGTCCAGTGATACCAAGTGTGGCAAAGATGGTGAGTAGTAGGAGTTCTCCTAACATTGCTGTTGGCGTTGCAGAGTGACACTAAGGTGCATGTGCGGGAGCTCCCAGCAATCCTAGGAGGTGTCAACACCGGCAAAACCTGCAAACGTCCATCAGGAGACATGTACAGGAAGGCTTGTAGCAGCATAGAAGGGAGAAAAGCCGGGAAGAGCATGTTCTATGCAGGAAGGGTAAGAGCCGCAGCCTATTTATCTGGCGTGACGTCACTGATGTGAAAATAAGTGAACAGCTGCTGACTTGTCACAAGTGCAAACCTCAAAAAATTAATGCAAGCACCCTCCTGCTTCAGCATAAGGTCGATCCCCCGCCAGGGAGCTGACCCCCATGGCGCAGCAGACCTCTCCTGTCTCACCTGCTGCTCCCCTCAGCGGCAGATTTCATCTGTCTGCTTGTTCTGCTCCCCACTCTGTCTCTGGTGATTTCTCTCACCCCCACCCCCACACCTCTGGCCTATACCCCAGCTCTGGATGCATATTTAAATAAAACTTGAAAAAAAGTTAATACTGAGCTAAAAAAGCAACAAGTGGGAGAACATATAAAGTATTACTTTACTTACATAAGGTCAAAACTATGAACATATTAAAAGCAATATGATTAATCACTGTAAACTTCTGAAACCAATGTATTATTTCATGATTCAGACAAAAGTGATACAATTAGAAACAAAGCAAGAAAATGGTTAGCATAAAATTGGAGAGAGTTTCTCCCTTCAGGCAATGAGGAACATCTAACTGGGGGAGGATATTTATGATTTTCAAAGAAAACACTTTTATTTAAATGGGGTGGTGAGACAAGTTTTTATTTTAATATTTTTCTTCAAATGTAACTCTAAACAGGTGCATGGCATAGCAGACCAGAAAATGGAACATGAATAAAAATACAGATTTATTGGAAAAAAATAGAAGATTATGAAAAGAGGCATAGTGCCACATCTTTTTTTTTTTTTGTGCCACATCTTTTTAAACTTTGCTTACTTCATGAATCTTAAGATAGCAGAACTTCTTTCTAGTACAAAGTGTCCATATGGAACACAAGTTTGGTGAGGTCTCATTGGAGCGCTAAGGAGCTATCAAAAAGGAATGTTTTATCTGCAGTTTATTTGTTTAGGATCAGGAGTGCCACGTTCAATAGAAGATACCTCCCGAAATCTAACTGGCATCTAGACCTGATTGTGTTAACAGGACCAATATGGGGCTCCTGCCTACTGCTAGTTTTGCAAATCCTGATTTCACCTTGATTTGACACAATTCTGGCTCTTTGTTCTAATAATATTCTCCTGGGTACCCAAGGGAAATGCTTCAGTTCAACCTGAATCACAGGCCAATCCACTTAGAATAAAGAGGTGGTGCAGTGTCAGTATCAGATTTCCATTCTGGATTTAGCTACTTTGGCATTGAATCTTGGTTCAGGTACTTAAGAGCTGTTTGGTCAATTTACTCATCTGCATAGCTTCAATGACAGTAATAACTCTCAAAGATAAAGGAAATAATGAAGTAAAGCTTACGAATAAAGCTTGCAGTCACTCAACCTTTACTCTCCATTTTAGTATTTCATTTTATGATGGACACTGATGGGAATGTCATTCCAAGGTCTGTTCCAGTCCTAGTCAAGGATCTGGGAAAGCTCAAAGCTACGCCACAGACATTTTCTCTCAGGGCTTTGATTCTTGTGTGAGTGATGCATGGGTGAAAAATCTGGTTTGTTTAATTCTTTCTTCCTCTTTGCTGCTCTGGGAATTGCTTGATTTCGGCCCTGACAGAGGGCAGTATATATTCTGCCTATAATCTCAACTTTGATTCTGTGAGCTTCCTTATTCTTTTTCAATATGCTGATTTGAACTTGCTAAAGTTGACCTTGGTCATTTGCAAAATGAATTCTAAGTGATAGAAACACCATGTACACACCCTGGCACATAATAAGTGCTTGCAGTTGTTTGTGGATTTTTCCCCCCACAGTTGAAACCCTGCCTGACAATACTTCTGCCAGACTTTCTCTGGTCCTCTTAAGTGAGCCCCAATTATCATGATGTGAATAGACATAATTTAAGAGCAAATTTGTAGAATTTTTAAGATGGAAGTAGGTAGTGATAAGAAAGGATAATCACACAAGGGGTGGAGAGATATTGTGAACAAAGATAGACTTGTCTGGAGACAATGAATAGGCTAATTTCTGCTGGATAATAGTAGTGGATAATGCTTACAAAGGTGAACTGAAATTAATTTTCAACATGTAATTCTACCAGCTCAGATGTAACTACTCCTATAAGAGGCTTTCTTCAATAATATCACCATCTTTGTTCATCAGCAACACAACATACTTTTTAGAATCTTATGAGTGTAATTGGAACTATGAGATTTGGGTGGACTGCAAAGAGGAGATTTGGGAAACCATATGTCCTTACATAAAATTATCACATAATCATGACTTACAGTCATTCCAAAGAACAGGTGTGGGTAGAATCCTCAGAGAGTACTCCTAAAGAAGGAAAGTTCTTGAGGCACTGATTGCACTAAATGCATAACTAGTTCCATGGAGAAAATAGACTTAAGAACCACCAGTGTTTTCCAAGGATTCTTATTATTTACTTTTTAATAAAGACATGTTTTGTTGACAGGCATGAAATGTCTATAACACACACACACACCCCAAAACAAACAAACAAAAAAAATGGGCCCTCCCTGGTGGCGCAGTGGGTTAAAGCGCAGCACTAAGAAGCTTAAGCCACTTCCGCATGAGTTCGATCCCTGCCTGCCTCGGAGGTGACCACATGGCACGCAGACCTCTCCTGACCTGCCCGCTGCTCCCCTCAGCAGTGTACTTCGTCGATCTGCCTGTTCTG